GGGACGGCGGCAGGGCGGCGAGGGTGGCGGATCGGGGCGGTGTCGTCGGGATGGCGGCAGGGCGGCGGGGGTGGCGAATCGGGGCGGTGACGTCGGGACGGCGGCATCGGGGGAACTTCGGGGCGGCGACGGTTGTGCTTGGGGGCGGTGGCCGAGGAGCGTCGAGGCGGTGGGGTTGGCGAATTGGGGTGGCGGTGGATACGAGTACTTGCTATTAAACACATGACTGACATTTGAAGGATCAATATACAACCATATTGATCTTATCTGCTTCATTCATCTATGGGGTTGCTATGGCAGAAACTTTTGCCCCCATCACGTTTAATTAGTTTGCAGGACAAAGCAAAGCTACCCTGGAGATGTCAGCGCACCGAGATCAATTTTCAACGTTTTTCTGGTGAGTGAAAAACAAGACGTCTCTTGTGTTCCCACGTAAAAGAAAAAGAAAAAAATATGTTGTTTCAGATATGAACAGCGTCACGATGATACTACTATATTTTACCATACATATGAGCATCAAAGCCTCAAAGGTGAGGTCAGGTAGGTGGCAGCCAATGCAAGTTCCTGGCTGCACACATGATAGCTGCTGCACCTGTCATGAGGGAAAAAAAATCCTCACACCAAACTGAATCCCATCAACCCCATCTAAATCACAGCTTCTTTTTTCCCCTGTGCCGTGCACACATGCAACAGTTCATGGCGACCGTCTAACCAACCAGCCAGCTCCAGGCTCATCAAACCAAACTGAGAATAACCTGCCTACACTACAGTCATGTTGGTGAATCATGACGCCTTTTTACACGCAGGTGAAAATGTGAAAGAAAAGACGGCGAGATGCGCATATATCGTCGTGTGCATTTCCCAACAAGCGACAGCTTCGACCCGGTGGACTCCCTTTTTCTCGTGTCAAGATCACGAAAAGATTTGACGATCGGGAGGCCGCACGATGGGGAAAGTGGAGAAAAAAGTGTCTTCAGGCGCAGTGTTCATCAAGCTTCCTGCATCCGTGTCAACTCTCCAAGCACAAACATGAGATCGCACCAAACCAGACCAACAGCGTTTCTTTCTCAAGATCCATCAAACCGCATGCACATGAATGTGATGCATGGTGCAATTGCAGCTTGTGATCCAAGAGAAACAAGAGGAAATCTATCAATCCATCCATCCATCCATCTCTTCTAGAAGCATGACCAGTAGTTACTACTGGCATTTTTATGCAGGGAATTAAGAAGCATTTTTCTTGTTGTTGATGTTGAAGAAACTGAGAGGAACCAATCAATCATGCTGTGAAAAATACGTGAAAGCTACAGTATATCACTGGTCCTTTTCAGTTCTCTCCAAACCTGCAATGAAACCGGCAGGAAGAAGAAGGTGCACGGCCACCAGCAATTAATCCGGGAAAGGGAAACCGGCCGCTGCCAAATGGCCTGGAAAAAGGGGCACCGGTGGCGTAAGATTGGGAAGAAAAGATGAAGATGAAAGCTTGAGGCAACGTAACTTTCCAGGTTATTAGGAGGGTCACATCTCAACGGTAGGTAACTACTGGACTCGACTCGATAGCCTTACCTCATAAGCTGGGTAGGTAAATACCCCTACTATGCCTAATCGTCCAAGCAATGCACAATCAACTGATAGTTTTTCTCTAGAATACGCATGAGCATGCGTATCTTATATTGATATAGAAGACAATCAAATAATGATAATAATTGTTACCTGCGAGAAATGGATCATGCCAAATGCGCTCACAAGGATTTATTTATCTCTCTCGGAAAAATGCGCCTTGACCACTTCAGGTCCCATCCTCCACTCACTGATCCTTGTACAATTCCTTGCTCACAACACGCGCGGCGAGAAAAACGAGGTGCTTTTATCGATATATATTCTGCCACGCCATTGACATTGCGATTCCGCGGCTGTCGACCGACCGTTCACTCCCTGCAACAAGAAACATATATAAAAGCAAAAGAAACAAAGAAAGAAAGAAGAAAAACGGTATCATGTTCATAATGTGGTCTGAGATAGAATTCTGCCTCACAAGCCAAGTCAGGAACCCAAGACGTTTTCTTCCTTTACTCCTTTTCCCTATGCAGCAGCGCGTCTTGATCCACACCGCACGGCCTCCTGAATTGACATGCCAACCTCTCAACCCTTTCACGGGGATCATGTGTGTGTGCCACCAATTTAACCAGGAAAAAGGGAACTGTTTTTCCTTCCCTTTCGCGACGTCATCGGGTTTTTCCTTTTCGCCGATTTTATGGGGAGAGCTGACCTCGACAGAGCTTCAGCGACAACATGTGCCACATGTGGCAAATTTTGTAATGTCTTCATGGGTGATATCTATTAGTACCACCACTACCAGCAAGCTGTGAGTTGGCTTCAAAATAAAGAGAAACTGGGACATCAGCTGCTGCTTATTTTCTATTTTTCTTCCATATATGTCAGAAAGCACAGTCAAAGACTAGACAGGGTCCTGCAGAAGACAACAAAAGGAAGATAAAACTCTCGTTTTCATATCTGAGCAGTGGCCAAACTCGCCAAGCGTCAGCAGCAACTAGGGTTCCAGAGGGGACAAAATTTCTCCTGACAACTCTTTTGTTTTGAAACAAAAGAGGTGACAACAGAAATTTGTCCTCAATTGTTTTGTTTCAAACAAGTGAATGAAACTCGCAGCAACGCAAGCATCAGCAGCAACAAGGTTCTAGAGACGATGAAATTTCTCCTGACAATTGTTTTGTTTCAAAGAAGATGTGACCAAATCTCTAAAAAATTGCCACTAGGACTTCTATAAGGACAACAAAATGCTGTAAGAAAAATCAGCCTCCTTTTTTGCGTGTGTGGGCCGCGGGGGGTGAAGAAATTAAGACAAGACACCTCCCAAGTCTGGTATGATGAATGTTCAGAAGCAGCATTTCAACGGCAAGAAGAGTCTGGTTCAGTGTACACGGCCTCAACACCTTTTTCTGCCAAGTACTTGTATTGAACTCCCACAAATGATGCAGAGAAAAAACTTGATGAAACTGTGGTGTAAAACTCGGGCAGTGAAAACATGACTTCCACAAAATTGAGACTAAACATTGAGTAAGACAATGTTAATATCTATATGTGATTTCTAGCTTTCAACAAGTTCAGCATACAAATTACGGAGTACAAGCTCTGACAGAGGCCCAGTCCGGCAATAAAGTGCCGGACATGGCAACTTTGTGAAACCAGATTTATTCCTCATAGTCCACTGCATCCCCAGAAGAACCATCCTTGAGATGAAGGTGCTTCTCCCTCCTCTGGAAGTCAGTCAGGCCTTTCCCGCTACCAGTGACCCCCACCTTACCTCTGTGATCTTCCGGTGACTTGAAGATGCTCTCCTTCTTGCGACCCGAAAAGAATCCCACCTGAAAGCAAACAGAACAAAAAAAATCGAAGTCTAAGTGAACAGTCCGATCGACAAAAGGAAGCAATTGTAGATAGGCCAGTTAGGGTGTCATTAGACTGCTCTAGCCAAATACTCGTATAAGGGCTTGCAAGCTCTTCTGGAGATAGTTTTAGCCAAATAGTGAGGAAGTCCCACTGCCTTCTAGCGGCTAGGAATAGAGATGTTACCTTCTTAGCCTTTCCTTTGGTAGTCTGGAACTGTTGCCATGCATTTTGCCGCTTATTCTGTGCGAAATCTAGTTGCTCAAAGCGGGCTTTTGACTTGAAAGCATGGATCTTCTTACGCTTTGCAGCTTTCTGCAGACACAAAAGCCAGTCAGAACACATGACCCATTTGATGCAGCTATAAAAAATTACAAGGCATGCTTGTTTGCAAGATCAGAAGGATTCTATAAATGGAAGTACAAATGAGCCGCTAATTAAAATGGGGCAAGAAGAACACCACTAGACATAATGTGGAAGCCCTGAGGTTTGTCATAAAGCTATACCTGGGGTGTTCATGGACATGAATGTACATACTTGTTTGTAACAAATGCATTCAATCCTCAAAAGTGAGGATCAGTCAACTTTGTTCCTTTAAAGGCAGAAGTAATATGATGAATGGTGGCACATGGGAGGTATTCAAGGCTAACTTTGCAATTGTAAATATATTGAACAAAAGACCAATTCACTTACCACATCTTCTGGATCATTTGGATCGATCTTAAGTTTTGTGGGTAAGCTACGAATCTGATAGTCAGATGTTGCTGCTTGTTCAACTTTTCTCTTTAATGCCATTTTTGTCGCTTCAGCTTCTTTTTCAGCTAGTCCTAAAGCATCAGCAGCTTCCACGTCAAGTGCCCTGACATTAGCAGGGTCCACCTGTATAAGGCAAAAAAAAAGTTTGCACACACTATTATATTGAAGTAAAAACTGATATGTAAACTGAAGCGACAACTAAAAAGACTGGTATGTAAACTGAAGCCAGCATTCTATTTATTTATATTATACTAACATATTCACATGCCAAGTGGAATTTCAGAAATTATGGGTGCCAGTTTGGTCCAACAAAAGACAAAACACTACAGGCAAAGGTTATTTAAGTCGGTGAATTCCTTTGTACGTTAAGGATGCTAAACAGGAATAAACATTACAATGGGAAAATAAACAGGATGGCAGATACAGCCAAATGCCATTAAAAATTCTTTTCGCTGCAGATGAAAAGCATATATGACGATGCATTACTTGACAACTCAACAACTTCAGAAGCAGGGCAAAACATCATGGTCATAACATATATGTACTCCGTCAAATTTTATGAATATGCAAATTGCATCCCGATGACAAAAGTATTACATGAATGACCTCAAACCAATGAAGCTGTCAAAGACAGAGACTTAAGCCATATGACCAACAATTAGCATACCTCTTCCTTGTTTCCCCAGCCTTCATAACTTACAAAATAACCAATTGGTGTCAGACCTTCAATTGTCGCATTGTACCTAACAATTTAGCTGATCAAACAAATTGCAAACAGACTATATATGCAAAAATAAACAGAAGAATGTACAATTGCAACATACACATATATCTCAACAGGTCTTACCACTCCCCATCTTCACTATACACAGCTTGCACTTTGGTACCAACTGCAAATTTTTCATGGGATTGTGAGAGGTCATCCAGTGCCTAAAAACAGATAAAGTATGTTAGTGGTATGAAACGGTTATGATGAACAGAAGTGCACTTGTAACTTCCAGGTGAGCAATCCATATGTAAAACAAAACTACGAGTACCTCTGAGTGCACTCCAGCAGAATAATTTGGCGGTGATAGACCTACATCATTCTGCGCACTCTCACTTGGATTTGCAGTTGCCAAAAGCTCTTCGGTTAATGTAATAACCTGCAGTTGTTGCAGAGAAATACATTAGCGCAATTAACAAAACTAGACTCCTGCTATCATTTAAACTGTCCAAATTTTGTGATTCACTCAGAACAGCAGCATCGACACCCAAAATCTGAAGGAGGTACTCTACCATGAGACACAAACCTGCAACCAATCAAGATAAAGGGTAATGGGCAACTTTGAAGCTATGAAATTTTATATTTAGTGTTCATAAGTTATATATGGTTGCTCAGATGGTCCCTACCATTGACATAATCTACCTTCTCACCTTTCAAGATTACAATAAAATCTAAATGGCCCAAAAACAAATCCACTGTTCCAAGCTGCCTTTTCATGATAGCTTGCCGGGCATGGCTCCTTGTAACAAAGAAGAGAAAGGGATTGATAGCATAGGCCCCAAATTACAAAAAAGAAAGCAAACATCCTTTTGTTACAAACAGTTTACTCATACTAGCAACAAAGTAAAAGAAAAGGCATCTGATGATTAGCTGATATCAACACACAGCAGCATAATAAAAAATGCAGGATAACTCACCTCTTGAAGCTCCTTTTCCATATCAACATATTCAGAAATTCCAGCGTCATCTTTTTTCTCCTTGATGAACTTCCTAACCTACAATTGGACGACAAAAGATTACCCACAATGTAAATGAATGGTTGCTCAAAAGCTTCACAACAAATGAGATTTGTAATAGGTAAAAGTAAAAGGAAATAGCACGAAACTGCAGTAAGAAAAAAAAAGGAATTTCAATAGCAGTTGACCTGCCATGTGCAATAGTGCAAGATCTACCCTGATAAACGATTAACTGGTCACCAGTTGAACACCTTGGCTAGTGTCCGGATCATAGTTGCCATGTTTCCGGTACGATGGGAACAAGGAACGGGGACGAGGGACGAGAGTCGGTGGCTAAAAAAAATAGGATACAACGAGGGTATACATCTCTCGAACGAATTTTTTATAGCGGGGACGCGATCCAATCCGTTTGGGTACGATGAACCCGGGACGGTATCATGGGTCGAGGAACACAGTTCCTGAAGAACGACGACTCCCTGACGGTCAGCATTCCTTGCTGTTAATGGATCCCTTGTAATTAATGGACTTGAGGAAGAACGAGGAGTCCTTGAGAAAAGAAACGACGGCGTGAGTAAATTATGCCTCACGTTTTGGCTGTTGGATCCTGGAACCTGAATCGAGGAGCAGGCTGCGGGAACGCCGAATCTTCATCGAATCGTACCGAATCTGACCTCGTTCCCGAATCCGATTCCGGGTCGATGAATCGGGATCGAGGGACGGCCTACCGTTCCCCGTTTCCCGCTACTATGGTCCGGATAGATCAGAGCAGATGTCATATTTGTTTATAGAAGATCATTTAATCAATTTTCAATGTAAATCACTCCTCTAAAACAGAAAGACATGGACAAAATATTAAAAAGAGTGAGTAGAATCTAGCGCGAAACAATGACTGCAACAAGGGACCAAACTTGGAACAAATACATCAACAAGTCTCGAGACAAAATTCAACCACCATGTGCACTTTACAAAGCGTTAACCACATGAACATAAAAAGTTGCATGCTCTGATTTGTGAACCAGTGGACTGTTCTGTCTTCTGCACATATGTAAATTCAACAAAATGCAGGATCAAATGGGCGATGGACATCGAAACATTTTGCTCCACCAAGCAGCACCAACACAATACAGCCCTAGTATAGAATTCATGGGAACCAATCAAGCTACATAATGTGTCAATCCAGTGTTGTCCAATATGTATTTCTAAGAAGTCTCAGAATCCAACACTTACCTTAGGATTTTTTAACTCTGCAGTTCAAACTAATTTAGCTATCTATCGCTGACATGAGCAGGCAGATTTCCACAGATTGTTCCAATACCCGGGTCCCTTTAACATAATGAAAATGATAACTCTTTTAGCTGGGGAAATAGTGATAAGAGCAGGTTATTACGGCTGCTCTACTATTTAATCAAAGGTTTAATCAATTGTAAGGTCCTGGACTTTTCACTTAGGCCTCTCGAAACCCTAGAATCGGACGCACATCCGAAACCTAATCTCTGAACACACAGCATCCAAAGCACAGAAACAAAGCACGTAGCTGCGCACAAATTATTGTGGCCCTAATAACGCGCAGCACCTAGGTGGGGAAACCAGAACTGATGGAGGAATCGCCGCAGCACAACGAATTACTACCGAGGATTGGACGCGAGGGGGGGATGGGGGGAGGGGGAGAGACCTCGCGGAGCTGGTCCTTGTAGGTGGAGAGATTGGAGGCGAGCTCCTCGACGCTGAGATCCTCCATGCCCGCCGCCTCCGACGCTCTCCTCCGGCTCGAGCTCGATTCGATTCGATTCGTGACGCCTCGCGCCGCCCGAGAGTTTTCTTTTTGTTCGTTTGGGGAAATCTTATTGTTGTTGTCTGTTCGTGGTGGGGATGGATTTTTATCGCGAGGAAGAAGAGGCCGAGTCGATTTGCCTCTTCCAATTGGGCTGGGACTCAGGGACTGCAACTCTCGGCCCATCGTGGGGTTTGCTGCGTGGATGCGCAAATGCGACGCGCGTGTGAGCGGGCTGGCCCGGCGCTGGGCGATTTTCATTTTTCTGACACTCACTTATTCCCAAACCAATTCTCAAAAAGGAAAAACTTATTCCCAAACCACCGCTCAAAAAAGAAAAACTTATTCCCAAACCTATATAGTAGTTAAAAAAATCTTATTCCCAACCCTCGTGTTTGTGTAGGATTAATCTCTTTTGCTTACCATTTCATGGAAACCCTTTTCACCAATATCTTAGCCTTCTTTCCAGCTTATCACAGCATTCCTTGTAAGCGGTCCTCTCACTATTTCTACTTCTCGTGGTCTTGAGGTGTCTTGATCAGTCGATGTATCCAACACAGGCTCAGAGAAGACACCTCCTTCTCTCAACCATCTGTACAAGGAAGAACTTACCACTATCCGGAGTCATTTTTTTCTGCCTTTTTTCATGTTTAATTGATTTTCCTTTTCATTTTTATTTTTATTTTATTTTGAAGAAATAATTTCCAGATATTAAAGTTTTCACAAAATAAATTAATACTTTTAAAAATGCAAAGACGCGTTTAAATTATACGAACATTTTCCTACAATACGGAACTTTTTAGTTAGATAAAAAATCTTACAACATGTGAATGCTAATCTATTGACAATTTTATAAATTATATGAATATTTTTAAAATAATTTTTAAAATTACAAGAACAGTTTTAAAGGTGTGAATACTTTTCAAATTACTTGATATTTTAAAATGTAAATAATTATTATTTCCCCATCACATTTTAAAAAATATTGGAAGTATATACATGTATATATGTTAATTTTAAGGTTTAAACAAAGAAAAATGATGTCCCTGAGCTCATTCAGAGGTCCTTTAGGCGGAGCTAGCGCTCGGTGGAAATGAGCGACACATTTTTGCACCTCAGTTGATGGGCAAGTTTTCGCTAGAAGATCCAGCCAAAACAACTTAAAGTGCATTTAAATTTAACAAGGCTCTGGTGGACATCACACAAGGAGTTCATGTGGACGCACACTTGCTATGAAGGGTAGATCAAAACAGGACGCGTCAGAGTAGGATATTGCTGGACAGGGTGCCAAACAATGCCCCAGTTGTGCAAGGAGTAAGACGCAAAAGTGGCCGACACGACAAATTCATTGGGCTTTGTATCCACTTGCATCGAGCATGCCTTGGAGTTGCTCATGTCAGTACAATCCAGCAGCTCGAACCGTAATACACGTGAGAGAGGAAGAAGCCGCGAACATCACCATGGACCTAGACACCCAAAAATGGAGTGGAGCGAGATCTTTCAGGGCGAGGACGGTGTGCAATAGGTGGCAAAGTGGCCTTGCTACCTATTCCATTAGAAACCACAGATTTTTAGGTCCAACACATGGCTCAAACTTCAAAGTGTTTCAACATGTAAAAAGGTGGTTCAAACTAAAATAAAGCAATGTTTTTCCTTACTTATGGTGTAGCGTCTTGTTTTATCACTTACAACATGTATACACTCTGGGGGCAACAAAAAATAAAAAATAAAATGTACACTCATGACCGAATAATGCCGTTGCATCAGCTAGCAAGCAAACGGTAGAAACAAAAACCCTAATGTCTTCTTTTAAGGAAAACCAAAGCCCTGGTTTTTTTTGAAGCATAAAAACTTTATTCTTATAAAATTGTCATATCATTTACTTAAGAGGAAGAATAAATTCAAGAGCATCGGACTCCCAAGTTTCAGACAAACTCGAGCTAAAAGAATGTTTAGCTAGACTATCAACAACTAGATTGACTTCTCTACTATAGTAAATAAAACTGACACTAGCAAAGTGTAAAGCCAGTTGATTGCATTTTGTTAAAATCGATCATGAGGGCCCACATACAAATCAGAATTCGTTAACACCTCCAAAGCAAACATGCTTCAGACTCAGTGATAATTTTAGTGCACCCAATATTTGCTGCTAGAATCAATCCACTTCGGATAACTTTCAACTCAATTGATTCAACATTGTAATCTTAAAAAAACACTGATTCAACATTAGAGAGGTAATTCCCAGGTTGCTGCTGCTATAAAATTTACATGGTTGTCCCTCGCCACAGCACCATTAACTCCCGATAAAGTTTTAGCATGAAATGACACGTCGATATTAATTTTTACAGTCCCCTCACTTGGCTGTTTTTTCAACATGTGATCAATCTTACGAACTAGCTGGTTCGGTGTCGATAGAAATTTGTACCTAACACCCATATAGTCATGGCCGTATGATTTGGAGTCTGGATAGTATTTCCTTTTGTACTCTGTCATCTCTGCCATCAGATGTACCACATAGCCACCAGGATCAATTCAGCAACAGGTATGTCACGCACAACTGAGCATACATGGATAAGAGTTTCTGAGTTGACTGAGCCGAAGCGATCCTGCATAACAGTTGTTCGGTCGATTAGGCCTAGTTCTGCCCATACGTCCTTTGCCCGTGAACAGGTAAAGAGGCAGTGTTGGATATCCTCAAATACAATTTTACATAAGGGATATTCGGGTATAAGAGGGATGTGTCTACCCGCCAGCACGCCCAAGCATGGTAGTATACCTTTAGAAATTTCCATCCAAAATGCTTAATTTTTTCAGGGATTCGGAGCTGCCAAAGATCTTTCCAAATTGTGTTAATATTTGCACTCACTGGGCTATCTCCTCTCAAAAAATGATGCCCAAACAGGTGATCAAATTCCACATGGTAGGACGAACGGACAGAGATGGTCCGAGATCTTGTGAAGTTTCAGGCCACGAAGTCTTCCATTGCCTCAACATGAAAAAAAATTGCATAGTTCTATTGACATAAATTACGGAAAATACAGACTCGATGTGAACCTCATCCCACTGTCCCCATGTGGGGGTCAATTATCTCTTCGTCCTTACTCAACATTGTCCCTCCTCTTGGTGTTATGATTTTTCTAGACTGTACTACAAGGGATCCAAGGGTCTTCCAAAATGTTTATGTGTGAACCTGATCCCACCCGCCAAATGCATCCTCTCTTAAAGGTCCGAATTCCTGAAAGTGCGTTATATCGACTAGAGGGGGGGTGAATAGGCGATTTTTATGAAAGTCTTCAAAACGTGGAAGTTTCGAAGACAAACGATAGAAATAAACCTATAACCATGCAGCGGAAGGTAGACTACACTAGGTAAACCACAGTCATGTATTCAATGAAGTGAAAGCACAATGACTAATAGCAGCTAGGTAGTAAGGATCAGGTAGGAAGATATTAAGAAGCCAAACAGAACACGCAGTCACTCAGTGAAGACAAAAGATAGTGCAATCATACAATGACTTCACAAGGAACAACAGTAAGTAAAGGGAAGGGAAGGATGAAACCAGTGACTCGTTGAAGACAATGATTTGTTGGACCAGTTCCAGTTGTTGTGACAACTGTACATCTGGTTAGGGCGGCTAGGTATTTAAACCTGAGGACACACAGTCCCGGACACCCAGTCCTGAACACGCAGCTCAGGACACCCAGACCTCACCGTATTCCCCTTGAGTTAAGGTCACACAGACCTCGCCTAATCACTCTGGTAAGTCTTTAAGGTAGACTTCCAAACCTTCACAGACTTCGTTCACCGGCAATCCACAATGTCTCTTGGACGCTCAGAACGCGACGCCTAACCGGCTGGAGGATTCACAGTCCTCAAGTGTAATAAGTCTTCAGATCACTCAGACAAGAAGACTTAAGTGATGCCTAATTCTCCTTGGCTCTGGGTGGTTAGGGCTTTATCCTCGCAAGGAATTCTCTCTCAAAGGCTTCGAGGTGGGTTGCTCTCAAACGACAAAAGCCGTACACTAACTCTGAGCAGCCTACCGTTTATGGTTGTAGGGGGTGGGCTATTTATAGCCACTAGGCAACCCGACCTGATTTGTCCGAAATGACCCTGGGTCACTAAGGAACTGACACATGTTCCAACGGCCAGATTTCAAACTCACACGGCAACTTTACTTGGGCTACAAGCAAAGCTGACTTGTCCGACTCTAGACAAGATTCGCTCTCATAGTCTTCACTCGAAGACATAGGTTTTGGTTAGGCATCACTTCAGTCATTTTGACTGGTTCTCTTGGACCCCACTTAACAGTACGGTGGTTCCTATGACTCAATAAAGAAGAAACAGAACTACGAAAGATCTAAGTCTTCGAGCTCCATATGCTTCATGTCACGTCTTCTCTTGTCATAGTCTTCAATGTGAATATCTTCATATACCACCTTTGCCATTGATGTCTTCATACATTTTTAGGGGCCATCTCTGGTAGGAAAACCGAATCAATGAGGGACTTCTACCTGTGTTATCCTGCAATTCTCACAAACACATTAGTCCCTCAACTAGGTTTGTCGTCAATACTCCAAAACCAACTAGGGGTGGCACTAGATGCACTTACAATTCCTGCAATAATGCTTTGCCATGTGAACGAGGAACCTTTCTTTGGGCCTGCTTTTAGTATGTCACCATCTGGATAGTACTTAGCACTCAGCACGTGTGCACACAGAGAGACAGGATTTTGGAGAAGTCGCCAACACTGCTTTGCTAACATACCAAGATTAAAATTATGAAGGTCTCTAAACCCCATGCCATCCTTCTTCTTCGGGACGCACATTTTCCACCGCGCATACCAGTGCATCTTCTTCTTTTCTTCTCCATCTCCCCACCAGAACCCCGCTATCTCATCGGTAATTGACTTGCAAATCCCTTTAGGCAATTTAAAAACAGACATAACATAAGATGAATTGCTTGAG